ACCACAACACTATGCTATCTCTGTACACTCTCTTCTATGTCCCCTCCAATGCACAGCAGTATCCAACTAGGCCAAATGAACCTTGAGGCTTGCTCAACTTCTATAGCTTCTAGTTTTCCTATATTGCTTAAACCAGCGATTTTCATCCAGCATGCTGCAAGAATTTTTAAAACATGCAATACCTGACTGTTTAGTCAGGGGCAACTGACCTCTTTTCCCTTGGACTGTCAAATAAAAAAAATGACAACAGCCAACACAACAACAGCTGTCCTACATGAATGAATCAAAATTATACACACACACACACACACACACACACACACATATCTATATCTATATCTATATGTATATAGATATAGATATAGATATAGATATAGTCCTATTGGTATGGTACAAAATTTTAGATATTAGTTTACGTGTGCCATGACATGAAAAAGGTTGAAAATTGCTGGCTTAAATCATTTGGCTATCACTTCTGCTACTTGGAATAAAGTCTTACTAGTATTTGATTTACCAGATGCTGTGGGTGAGTTAGCTAACTTCCCTAAAGCTTAATTTTTACATTGGTATAATGAGACAAATTTGGAGTTTAAAGGCCTGGATGTTAACCTTGGCTCTGACAGCTTTCTAGTTGTATAATTTTGAGCAAGACATCTGACCTCTCTAAGATTTAATGTACTCATCTATAAAATGGAGATACATGTGAAGAATACATGAGCTAATATGTGTATGTCACACTGTAAGCATTCAAATGAGAATTATCACCATTATTATTACTATCATTCAAAAAAGTATAACTTTTAAAACATGCAAAATTTTGAAGTTCCAAATTGGCATCTAATGTTAAAAGCAATTTTTAAAAACTTCTCACCAAATTTAAACAATTTTTGCTAACAATAACAGCGAACACATTCTGGGCATTTAATATTTGCCAAATGCCATTTTAAGCAAGCATTAAACATTGTGATCAGCCTCAATGGCGTAGGCCTGATTACCCATGATGTTGAAGATATTATTATCCCCATTTTACAGATGAAGAAACAGAACTACACAGTAGTGAAGTGAGTTTCTAAGGGCTGGGTTACAAACTCAAGCAGTATAAGCCCAAAGCCTATTTCTCTCTTAACGACTTACACTGTATTAATTTGTTTTTATACTGAATAGAGTGAGGTATGTAGGTATGTGTGTAGATATACTATGTATCTATATATATATTTAACATTTAATTTTCTATCTCCAAATTTCATATATGTCTTTATTCTTGAGCAGACCTTTTCCCACTCTCACTCTCTGAAGACTAAACATAAGTCAAAATATTTAGAAATAGAATAGACCTATTTCTGCAAATGGGTCTTCATATATATATACCTATGTGAAGGACTATAATAAATATGCTAAGAGTACAGAGATTACATAATAACAATGATAGGAAAAGGTTATTCCTTTATTATATCTTACAAGATTAAAAAAAGATTGTCTTTTTATCCCTTGTTAGAAGTTAAAGATCTATTTAAAGATCAGGAAATCACGTACAAGATTAATGAACATGGGATACACTAGTCTCTCATACTCCATTCTTCAGATACTTGCCAACAAAATCTGATTAAAAGGTATATCAGATCATATTACTTCCCATTCCAGCCCTGCTTAAAATTCTAAGAGTAGGCTCCTTACTATGACCCTAAAAACTCTGGCTTCAACCTACCCCTCCAACTATGTTCTAGTACTCCCAACCCTGACTTACTCTGCGGAAGCCACACTTGTCTTCTTTTAATTCCTGGACCGTGCCAATGGTGCTTTCTGCTTTCAGGACTTTTGCACTGGCTGTTCCTTCTGCCTGGAAGGCTATGACCCTAGATCTCCCCATGACTGGCCCCTTTTTGTTATTCAGATTTCAGTTCAAATATCTCCTCCTCTGACCACTCCATAGAAATAAATCTTACCACCACCCCAGTCTCTCACTACCCCACTTCCTACTTTATTACCTTCATAGTACTTGTAATTATCTAAAATAGAGTATTTATTTATTGGTTATACGTTTATTACCAGTCTCTTTCCCAGTAGGAATATAAATACCTTCAAGGCAGGGGCCTTAATATGTCTTTTTTACCACTTTACTAACTGTATCTAAAGCAGTACCTGTAGGGCCTAAACAAATATCTTCACTATAGCACAGAAAAGGGATTAAACATTAGAAAGTGAGAAAGAAAATAGAATAAGATGACTAATCGGGCCCTACTTATTTAACTTGGTTGGTAATATGAATATAGGGAATATAAGACAGTTGGAAGTTTAAACGCATGGAAATAGATAAGTTAGTAAGTGTTGCCCTAATGGCCAGATTACATTAATGCTTTTTGTTAAGAACCATTTTCTGGTAGAAATTTCCTTATGATCAGGTAATCTTTCTCCATTCAACTTTCTCTTTACTTATTCAAAACAAAATATAATTAGGAAAAGAAAGATAACTGATGAACAATTTACTAATATTTTAAAGTTAAGTTTTAGATTAATTTCATTCCAGGTTAAACTAGAAAATTCTTAACATCGCTTGCAATTTGCAGAAAATTGGCCACAGAAAACTTTTTATAACATCCTCTGTCAAAAGACAAATTTCTTTCCTTAAGAAATTTAAAAATGCATTTTCAAACTTTAAATTCTTAGGTCCTTGACAGTCTAGAAAAACTAGAACTATGTGTATATATTAAGTAAAACAAAACTGTTTGAGAGGATACATATACTTCAAGCATTGTGAAATTAAAACTAAATAGTTCATACATGTAATTAACCAAGTATACCTCTTATTACTGTTCCCCTGTATCACCTGAGTGATATTAGGCATGTTGTTGACTTTTTTATTATATGTATACTAGAGGCCCGGTGCACAAATTTGTGCACAGGTGGGGTCCCTCGACCTGTCTGGCGATAGGGCCTATTGGGGCTGTCTCACCCAGTCCGGGAGAGAGGTACCGCGGGAGGTTGGCTGTGGGAGCACACTGATCACCAGGGGGCAGCTCCTGCATTGAGCGTCTGCCCCCTGTGGTTAGTGCGTATCATAGCGGCGTCGTAATGGTTGCTTAGGTTTTTATATATATACTAGAGGCCCGGTGCACGGATTCGTGCACGGTGGCGTCCCTCGGGCTGGCCTATGCCCTCTCACAATCCGGAACCCCCTGGAAGATGTCAGACTGCCGATTTCAGCCCAATCCCCACAGGCCAGGCTGAGGGACCCCACCGGTGCACGGATCTGTGCACCGGGCCTCTAGTATGCATATAAGATCTTTGGTTAATCTCTTCTCGCCCTCCCCCCTTACCTCTGAGATTCATCAGTCTGTTTCATGTTTTCATTCCTGTGCATTGAGCATCTGCCCCCGGTGGTCAGTGCACAACATAGCTACCGGTCGAATAGTCACTTAGGCTTCATATATATATATATATCTTTTCATATATCCTATATATCTTTGACTATTTAAGTTGAAGTTCAAACTGGGACAGGCAAATGAAATAGAAAAGTGCTATCTCCAAACCCTCAGGCTAGCCAGCTAACTTCTATAAGGAAATGGCTATTTCTTTTCAAGTGTGTGGTAAAATGAAGCCACTTGACAGCCATCAAATTTGTTTTTCTGTTATATTCAGTAACCAATAATACCTTAAACTGCAAGAAAAAGTGGGTGTTTCTAAGCAATGAAATTTTATTCATGTAGAATCACATAAAATTTATCCTATTTTTAGATATCAGAAGAAAATAAGTATTTTAGTAAAATATTACTCAGCTATTTTACTGACTTTTATCTAATAACCCAAGAATCAAAGTAGAGTTTGCTATTTCAATATGCCTAAAAAACAATAAATAATATAAGAGGGATGACTGATGTTTTGTGGAACTATACAATAAAGAAATATCATTTTAATGAAAAAAATATAAGCATTGTAAAAGTTTCACTCAAAATAGATGGAAGAGAGAAAATCTGACTTTGGGTGGTGGGCATACAGTACAATATACAGATCTTATAACAAAGAAAACCACCTAGAACCTATATGTTAATGTTGACCAATGTCACCCCAATAAATTAAAAAAAAATAAATGGAAGAATCTAAAATTTCTATTTCCTCCTCTCTCCTCCTATTTTCTTAAGAATTGTCATATGATAATCAAACCTCCCTACTGTCTAGCTCAATGCCAGACACATAGGAAGTAGTCAATACATCCTTTGGGAATGACTTAATTTATTGCCTCTATGTACTCATAACCCAACAAAACTAGTCAACTTCCTGACATCGGATATATACTGATAATGTTAAAAGAAATCTAACAAAGTGACCCAGGCTTACATATTTTCACACATAAGTCTCATTCAACATACTAAAATGTCTTTCCTGAAAAAGCTTAAACAAACAAAAGTTCATTTAATGAAGACAGTTTCAGATCTAACAACTTGATCTGAATGGGCAATATATATTTGAGATCATATTAAAGTCAGTGCAATCCGTAACTTATGAATGATAGTAAATATACTAAGAAGTTGGAGGAATGTAGAATGGAGAGGAAAATATCTAAATCAGCTTAAAAATAGATATGAAATATACAAACCAAGAATTCAAATAAAAACATGACTAATGTACCTTTGCTGAACTATGAAGCTCTTATTATCCTAAAATTATAATATCTCCATCTGGTAATCTGACATGAACAAGCTGATAAAATGAAATCAGAACAACAGTGTATTCTGGCAAAACTTGAAATTTCCTGAAAGCTTAGAAAAATATGTCCACAACAGATGGATCATTTAGAAAATAAATACATCAATCTGTTAAACTGAATACTATTCTAATTCCCTAAATTAAAATCAGTAGAAGCTCCTCTTTCCAAGAGTCTATGACATTAGGAAGGCCAAAAAGGAAAAAAACCTAAAGATGTACATAAACAGATCTGATATGACCTAAAACGTCATACTGTTAGGTTTCCTGTTAAACATACTTAATTTAGGTAAGGTCCTTACCAGTTAACTTCTTCACAGGTTGGAGCCGAACACTGATAGACTGATGTGTGAGTAAGGGGGAGGATGGAAGAGAGCGAGACATGCCCTCCATAATCCGAATGTGCTGCATACCTTCACTCACTGGAAGTGGTGGGACGGCGTAGTCTGGCTCAAAAGCACAGTCGCTTTCTGTGGAGATGCCACCTGTTAGACAGAAGAGGAGGGAAACAAAAGAGTTGGTGAGAAAAGATTCTTCCTTCTCTATTAAAATTTGTCTTTTAGGATGATTCAGAATAGCATATCCTATATAATAAAAGCCTAACATGCTAAGTGTCCGGTCATCTGGTCGTCCGTTCAACCAATCAAAGCATAAGATGCTAATGATATGCTAAGGCCACTCAACTGTTGCTCGCTATGAAGTGCACTGACCACCAGGGGGGCAGGCAGTCGACAGGTTGACCAGTTGCTATGACGTGTTATGACGTGCTGCTGGGGTCTGGCCAATCAAGACTGAGATGGGCCAAACATGCCCTGAAGCCCTCCTGCGGTTCCTCCCCAGCTGGCCAACCTCCCACGTCCCTCCCCAGCCCCACGGTGGGGTTCCTCGGCCTGGCCTGCGCCCTCTTGCAACATGGCACCCCTCAGGGGATGTTGGAGAGCGGGTTTCGGCCCGATTCTGCAGGCCAGGCTGAGAGACCCCACTGGTGCATGAATTTGTGCACTGGGCCTCTAAGTATAAAAAAATAATTATAGTGTAAAGCCATAAGTATTACAATTAGAGCAAGGTCTTCAATTTTCCCCTTCCCCTACCCCATAAGACAAACACGAAAAAAAGATATTCACCTGCTTAACAATCCAATATATGCATTTGCTACTAGGTCACTATAACTATTGCTCATCCCCTCTCTCCAAGAAAGTATGTGAACATACAAGTGGATAAAAGACTGACATTATTATATGGCAACCTTTGAATCTTTCTCTAACATTTTAAAAAGAGTAAACTATATGCTGTTTACTTCCATTTACATACTGTTAACTCCAACTCCTAAGAAAGTCAGATTAGATTATATACTTCAGACCAACTTTTCCCTAAGAAAACTAGAACATTTTTCGGGTGTTCCAAAAAAAAAAAAAAAAATAGCCACACTTTGGCTGCCATTATTAAGTCCAATGGGTTAAATCTGAAAGGTAAGAAACATTAATTGAGCTATCAGCTGTTAAAGTGTGTATACATTTTTTGGGACACCCTGTATATATTTTAAATCTTCCTGAAGGCACTGTAAAGTTAATAGCATAATGAAGAATTACAGAAGAAAACTGAAGCCAGGCATTTGACAGTTTTATAGAGCTGGAAAGACAAATATTGGCATGAAGGGAGAACAAAGTTGTGGAGGGGGACCTGGTAAAACTCCAAAACTTTTGTTTGGGAGGTCAAAGGGCTACACTCTAGGAGTAAATATAAACCCAAAGTAGGCTGGCCTTTACAGAACTGAAACCCAGCTCCACATGTCTACCACAAAATTAAGTTAAGGCAATTTTGGATTGCTAGTGCCTGCTAAAAACAAACATAAATCTTCTTAGAGGAAGATAACAACGTCACCATAGGTCTCAAATTATTTCCACAAATTTTCATACACAACATCGGGCCCTTAATTAACAATAACAAAGAGATAAGATAACATGAAAAAAGTAAGTCAGAAAGATCATGCAGAAGAAATAGTCTCACAAGAGATACAAATGAACCAGGAGGCACAGAATTTAAAGTAGTATGCTTAACATAAAAAAGACTAAGATACTTAGGAATAAATTTAACCAAGGAGGCAAAATATTTGTATACTGAAAACTATAAGACATTGATATAAGAAAATTAAAAAACATACAATGGAAGATATTCTGTGTTCATCTACTGGGAAGAATTAATATTGTTAAAATGTCCATACTACCCAAAGTGATCTATAGACTCAATACAATCCCTACCAAAATTCCAATGGCATTTTTCACTGAAATAAGAAAGCAATTCTAAAACTTTGTAAGAAAAAATGAATCAAGTAATCTTGAGCAAGAAGGACAAAGCTGGAGGCATCACACTTCTTGATTTCAAATTATAAAGCTATAGTAGTCAAAATAAGTTAGTAGTACCATACAGACAGACACGCATCATGCAAACAGACCAATGGAACAGAATAGATAGCCTAGAAATAAACCCATGCATATATAGTCAACTAAACTTCAACAAGGGCACTAAGAATACACAGTGGGAAAAGGATAATATCTTCAACAAACTGTGTTGGAAAAATAAGACAGCCACATGCAAAGGAATGAAACTGGATCTTTACCTTGCACCATATACAAAAATCATGTGAAATGGGTTAAAAATGTAAGCATAAGAACTGAAACTATAAAACTCCTAGAAGAAAATATAAAAGGAAAGCTCCTTGACATTGGTCTTGGCAATGATTCTTTGGATTTGACATCAAAAGCATAGGTAACAAAAACAAATGTTAACAAGTGAGACTATATCAAACTAAAAAGTTTCTGCACAGCAAAAGAAACCATCAACAAAACGAAAAAGGCAACTTACAGAATGGGAGAAAATACTGCAAACCATTTACCCAGTAAGTAATTAAAATCCAAATATTTAAGAAATTCATACCCAATAGCAAAACTAAATAACCTAATTTAAAAATGAGCAAAGGGCCCAAATAAGTATTTTTCCAAAGAAGACACAAAAATGGCCAACAGGTACATCACTAATAATCAGAGAAATGCAAATCAAAACCACAATGAGACATCACTTCATACCTGTTAGGTCAGCTATTATTAAAAAAATTCAAAAGATAACAAGTATTAGCAATAATGTGGACAAAAGGGAACCCTTTACACTGTTGATGGAATGTAAAGTGGTAGAGCCATTATGGAAAACAGTATGGAAGCTCCTCCAAATATTAAAAATAGAACTGCCATATTAATTAGCTATTCTACTTCTGAGTATATATCAAAAGAAATAAAATTATCTCAAAGAGATCATTGCATTCATATGCTGACTGTGGCACTATTCACAATAGCCATGATTTGGAAACAACCTCAGTTTCTATTGATAAATAAAGAAAATGTGATTACACACACACACACACACACACACACACACACACACACACGAATATTATCCAGCCTCAGAAAAGGAAATCCTGCCCTTTGTGACAACATGATGAATCTGGAGGATATTATAAGCAAAATAAGCCAGACATACAAAGACAAATACTACATAATCTCACTTATATGTGGAATCTTAAAAATACAGTGAGAAGAATGGTGGTTACCACAAATTAGGGGGCTGAGGGAAAAGAAAGATGTTCAAACTTTCAGTTGTTAGATAAATAAGTTCTGGATCTTAGCAAAGTGACATCTTAATTAGCTTAATTGTGGTAATCATTTCACAATGTATATATTTATCAAAACATCATGTGGAAGCAAAACACACCCAAACTGAACTGCAATTGGAGAAAAAAATTAAAAGACAGGAGGAGAGCCTAAGGGAGCTATGGGACAACATGTAATGAAGCAACATACGAATAATAGGGGTGCCAGAATAACAGGAAGAGGAACAAGGATTAGAAAACCTATTTGAAGAAATAATGTCAGAAAACTTCCCTGAGGTGGGGAAGAAAAAAGTCACACAAGCACAGAGAGTCCCAAACAAGATGAACCCGAAAAGACCCACACCAAGACACATAATTACCATGGCAAATGTTCAGGACAAAGAGAGAATCTTTAGGCTGCAAGAGAGAGGCAGAAAGTTACATACAAGGGATCTCCCATTAGATTATCAAATGATTTCTCAACAGAAACACATCAGACCAGAAAAGAATGGACAGAAATTTACAAAGTGATGCAAAGCAAGGGACTGAATCCAAGAATACTCTATCCAGCAAGGCTATCATTCAAAATTGAAGGGGAAATAAGAAGCTTCACAGATAAGAAAAGGCTAAGGGAGTTTATCAGCACCAAGCCAGCAATGCAAGAAATGCTAAAGGGACTGGTGTAAAAAGAAGAAATAAAAAGCTAAGAAAGAAAACAGGCACAAAAAATAGAAATGGCTACAAACAAGTACCTTTCAATAATAACTTTAAACATAAATGGACTAAATGCTCCAATCAAAAGACATTGAGTGGCTGAATGGATAAAAAAAAACATGACCCATATATATGCTGTCTACAAGAGACCCACCTCAGAATAAGGGACTCACACAGACTGAAAGTGAAGGGATGGAAAAATATCTTTCAGGCAAATGAAAATGAAAAAAAAGCTGGGGTAGCAATACTTATATCGGACAAAATAGACCTCAAAGTAAACCTTAACTATATACATACCATTTGTGTTTATCAATCATCCTATATAATAAAAGGCTAATATGCAAGTTGACTGAATGGCAAAATGACTGGTTGCTATGACATGCACTGACCACCAGGGGGCAGATGCTCAACACAGGAGCTTCCCCCTGGTGGTCAGTGCGCTTCCACAGAAGCCGGGCTCATGGCTGGCAAGCATAACAGCAGTGGTGGGAGCCTTTCCCGCCTCTGCAGCAGCGCTAAGGATGTCCAACTGACAGCTTAGGCCCGCCCCCCCGCCCCTGTGCACGAATTTCGTGCACCAGGCCTCTAGTACTTCAATAAAGCTAGGAAACAAAGAGTGGGAAATATCAAAAACAAGCACATGGTCTTACATGAAATGATGACAATGTAGTTTAAACCCAGAAGTAAAATTAAATCAATTGTTCCCAATTGTGTTAGTTTTAATTTCAGCATATGGAATTCCAACTCATTTTGAAAACTGCTGTGGTATATCATGTATTATAATTTAACCAGTCTCTTGTTAATGGCCATTTATGCAGTTCTTTATAGATGTAGATCCTAAGTACAGAATTACTGGGGCAAAAGTGCGGAGAATTTCTATTGAGAAATACTGACCAAATGCTGTATTAAAAGTCTGTATTGTCCTAGCTGGTTTGGCTCAGTGGATAGAGTGTCAACCTGTGGACTGAAGGGTTCAGGGTTCGATTCCTGTCAAGGGCACATACCTTGGTTGCACCCAGGAGGCAACCAATTGACGGGTCTCTCTCACATGGATGTTTCTCTCTCTGTGTCTCTCTCCCTCCCTTCACTCTCTCTAAAAGTCCATAGAAAAGTATCCTTGGGTAAGGACTA